TTACTTGCCAGCATTGGACTGCGGGATATTCCCATATATGAACTCCGAGACTGAAGAAGAATATGGTATCTGTGAGACGCACCACATATACTTTACTGGACAAAGGGTGGTGGATATCCATTACTTCATCCTCAGATTTTGCATATCCTCCCATCTGCTGTCTGGCGCTCAGCACACTGCTAGCTTCGAGCTTCCTCACTCCCACGTTGTCTATATATGTCGGTGGTTTCCTTCTTTCCCTCCGCCAGTGTATCGTTTCGCTGGACCGAATAGACGATTCCGGGGATCGTCGCGAGGAGTCCGATGTAAGGGCTCTGCTATGGGCTTTGCTGCTCGGTAATTCTTGGTACGGACGTTGGAACTGTACTGGATATTCGTCTCTAGAGGGTTCATTCATGCGACCATCATCCAGGTCTGAAGCTTCAGACCCTTCGCCCCGTCTCCAGTTTGATATTCTGCCTGCTTGTGCGCCATAGTTGTTGGCATCGTGCTTATTTACCGTGTATCTCTGGCTCACATTTTCTGTGTTTCGAGGCAGAGATGAAACTTGTCCACGTCGTATCCACGGCGCATTATCCTTCTTAGGGGTTCCAAACCCACGGCCTTTTCTGATGCCGGTCGTAATGGCCGAGTTTACTGACAGACACCGAATGCAGTTCACACCTTGTAAAACCAGTAAACCCTGGAAGCGCAAACTAGAAGTACTAGGAGCCGGAGCCCTGGATGATAATAGCAGCATAGCACCCATAAAGCGAGGGTATATAGAGTCCCTAGACGTTCCCTCTGCTTTTCATGAGACCGCAACAGAGAAACAAGGGAAAAGACAGAAAAGTCTCATCTGATTATATAATCCATAACTAGTTATTGATTAAGCTTATCAGTGATTAGTCATCTTTCATCTCTCTCATTGAACTTTCTTGTTTGTTTGCGCTGCTTGTTAGTAGTTAGCAGTCGAAAACAGCTTTCATGGTTCATTGTACTAATTTCTGAAAGGATCGACAGTGGTTGCGATTAGCTGCAGGAGAGCAGTGCCTTGTTGCTCAACCCCCTACAAGCATAATGCTGTCTGCCTCTCTTTGCTTCGCGTTTAAAACGCCTCAGCTAAATTGATTTCAACAGGCGACAAAGTTGTAATTACTAAGCAAATAGTTGCCACCAGGATTTCTGTAGATACGGTATTTTACGAATATAACACCGTTCCAAGGGGAAATAGTGGTATTTTAATGTATTTATGGTACATCATCAATCGTTTCGATTTTTCCAAAACGGAAGCGAAAATAGAAGCATGGCAGTGAACACATATCAAACCCACTAAAGCCCCGTTTACGCGCAGTATACGCCGTTGTTGAAGGGCCTTCTACGGAAAAGATGAGGTGAATAAGAGAGCAGCCTGCGCTGTCTCTTCCCCCCATGTCTACCAGGCGCGTTCGCTTCTAACCTCGCGACTGAGAGCTAACTGAGCTACTGGTGACAGAACATCTTAACGGGAGAGGCTATTTCGCTCATGCCTGGCAGCTAAACATGCGGCCGTTCCAGGACCTCGCAATCTCCTTCTCTTCGGAGTCTTCTGACGGGGAGACAGCGAATTTCATCCTAGGCCAGTTCACGGCCATAAACACGACGGAGCCTCCAACAAAACCTCGGGCTACGAGATTGGTTCCATGTGTTGAAATTCCCAAGAAAAGCTTCAATAAGGATGATTATCCATATTTACCCGGCTATTCGACCGTAGATCACATAAGATCTAAGGCAGAAAGCCTCACTTCGGACTCATATGAGGTAGTCCTCAAAAGTGGTGATATCAGAGTGGTAAGTGCAGTTTCAAATGCTCTCTCACCTAATTACCGGGCTATTATCTAACAAGTTTATAGCTATCATTGAGCAAGATCCGATCACTCAAAGGTGGCCGTGAAGCGCTGTCAATTTTCAATTCCCAAACTGCTTACTCCAGCTCTGAGTCCCCGTCTACAAGCAGCTCAGAGGATGAGCTTATATCACCCCACCCGACTAATCGACGGTCAAGGAGATCCAAAGCAATCGGTTCTGTCAATGGTGCTACACGGCCCATAAGCCTTCGTCAAAGAACATTGGCCAAGGTCAACTATTCAATGCGCCTTAGCAGTGTTGAATCTGAAGATCCCGGCACTCGGAGAAGATCTAGCCGGCTGAACTCTCGCCGTGGCCGATCGCTTGGTGGTTCAATAGGATTAGACAGTGACGATTCTAGCGAGGATACCCAGAGAAGGACTCGCGCAAAGAGACGAAAAGTTTCAAACCTTCCCGTGCGAGAACCCCGCAATGGAATACGTACTTCTCAGAGGACGCGAAAGCAAGTCGGGAACATGGCCGAAAGATTGGAGGATGACATATCCGAAGTAGAGGTGGCCCAGAAAGAGACTAAGTACTCAGCTGCACAGGAGAAATTTTATAGATTACCAAAAGATGATCCCTTTGCACTTCGTCATCAATCTGCCTGCAGGGTCTGTTATACTGTCGGAGACAGCTCCGAAAAGGGGGTTCTAGTCTACTGTCAGGGATGCACAGATTCATACCACCAAGTGTGCCTTGGGTCCCGTGGCACCCGGACTCATTTGGTCAGCAAAGTAACTTCAAAGTTATTCGTGTTGCAATGTCGTTTCTGCATTGGGCTTGCTCGTGAGAAAGACCCGACGGCCCCCCATCATGGCACCTGTACCGGTTGCAAATCTCCTGGAGAAATGGCAAAACCATTGAGGACGCGCATGACCACGAGACAAGAACATATACAACGTGATGAGAATGGCGGAGAGGATCCATGTATCAATGTTGATCAAACTGTACTGAGCCTGCCGGAAAATGTCATGTTTCGCTGTGACTCATGTAAACGCAGCTGGCACATGCACCATTTACCTAGAAAATCCGGAACTTCATACACCGTTGATGATAGCCTAGAAGATGCCGAGTTGTCTGAGAAAAGGTTTAAAGAGTATTCTCGCCGTTGGACTTGCAATGAGTGCGCTAATCTTCCGGGAGAAATCGAAACCTTGGTTGCCTGGAGGCCGACTAACCTAGACAACTATACCCCAGGATACTCTTGTGATGAGATCGAAGAGGATGCTAAAGAGTATTTGATAAAATGGCGGAAGCTCTCTTACTTTCAAACTTCTTGGATGCCAGGCCCTTGGGTTTGGGGGGTCGCAGCCCATGTTACACGCAAGGCGTTCAATAAATCTGAAAATGGGCAAAAGCCCTCGAATGATCATCGAAGATGCTATAC